CACTGGCCAACCAGTGTTTTATTTATTGACCAATCAGAGCAATTTGACATACAGACCGTCCCACAGCATGGTTGGGTTTACAACCACTGAGAAGGCAGAACAGAACGTCTATATAAAGACAAACAGACAGAAGTAGGTCTCTTTCGGAGAGGTCTCTTGGCTGAAGAGGCTAGCTGCAGCAGGCGGGTAAGGTTCTTAGCTCTGATCTCTTGGCTTTCTTCTTTGCATTGGTTCTGTGTTTCTTATTTAATATGACAGTTGGTTACATCTACACTATATATGGGGTGAATGACTGTTATAAATGTAGAATATGAGCTTTATAAATATATAAAATGTATATATGGCTATCAGATAATCTTAACCCAAAAGTGAGCTTAAATAAGATGTGAAAGCTTCAAAAATATTTTGGCTCAATTAGCATTAGTTGTGGCTAGATAATAAAAATAGTAATTTTAATTAACTAAAACAAATACTCAACAAATTGCCCACTCAACAATAACAAGTTACTATTATTATTTCATGAACATAATTTTGGAATTCCTGGACAAATAAATAGAATAAAGCAATCTGATGTGATAGAACTAATTTAAAACTAATTTTTGATACAAAAGTTATTTTTAATTAAAAAGTATTAACTAAAATTTTATTTGAATTAATAAAAAGAAAAACAATTGAAGTAAAAGCAGAAAACTGAGGGGGACAGTTAAACTTCAGATTAGTGATTTTTATCACAAAAAATATGCAGGTAAATGATGATAAAAATGAACTGAGCCAAGGGAGGTGTAACTAGAAGAGAATGCATCCGTGTTTGCTCTACTGTTAAGATAAGGCTTGGCCTTCCTCACATCTCAGGGAAAGAGTCAGCTCCAAGTCTTGAGAGAACTATACAGTTTTTAGCAGCAGGCCGTTAAATTCCCTGACAGGCCTTGACAACATTCTCACACTCTGAAAGAGGTAGGCAAATACCTAGAATAATTAGATTACATGTTCCAGTGAGATGATTTTGAAAAAAAAAAGAAAAAGAACATTTCTGCAGTTTTAGAACTAGGCATAATGATTAAACAATTGTGATTTTACAAATTCTCAGCAAAGCGAAGATGACATGTCACAACCAAACACTTCTAAGTATTAAAGAGATCATAACTGTATTTCTATTCACATCAGGTCACAAAAAAATGAGAAGGAAAATTGGCAGAATTCACAGAAACCTGATTAAGTACCTAAAATATAACATCTGTGAAGCAAAAATTCAGGAGAGATGATGTCCTGAATCAGACATAGACAGTTATGTATGTGCACATGGGGAATTATAACAAGTTCATGTGTCTCAGCATGGCATAGCCTTACAGACCAGAATTCTCAGCATTCTGGAAGCTGAAGCAGGAGGATCACAAGTTTTAGTATAGCCTCATTTAAAGAGTAAATTCCAGGTTTAGGCAACATTTCAATACTCAGTCTCAAAAACTATTGCTAGAAAAATACCAGTTTAAGTACAAGATGATATATATATACATCATATGATATATAAATACAGTTTAAATACAAGATGATGATATATATATGTATATATATGGGATATACATGATGAGGGTAGATTGCAGAATAAGTATGATGCAAATAGAGCACATAAAAATATCAAAATGTAAAAAAATGGATGTATTCATTATTCAATATTCAAATTCAATATTGAGATATTCAAAAGTATTGATACTCAAAAGTATTGAAAATCAATTTGAAAATACTAAGATTTAAGAAATGTCAATTTCAAATTAATATATTTATTTTTAATTTATTATTCATAACAACTCTATTGATTCCTTATAATCATGTCTTATCTAATAAAATTCCCATTCCACTTCTGATGCCCATTACTTATTAGTGGGAATATTGTTTTAAATATTTCTGGAAAAAAGGAACATCTGTACACTACAGATTTTATATTAAAACATTTTAATACATTCAATAATTATAGCATGTAACAATTAATACATTAATTATTAAAATCAGCATATTTGTTTTAAGTTATTTCAATTGGCCCAGGAAACCAGAAACTGATTGTTTTGTTATTAATATATAATTAAAGCATTTTTCAGTTAATTCAATCTGTCCTTTTATCTTATTATTTTAAAATGTTCCATACATTCATGTTCAATTTTCTGCACTTATGCAAACTAATTGTTGATGTGAGAGTATACAGTATAGCTTTTGGAAACAGATGCACTCCAAACATAGCTATAAAATGGGAGTTTGTGAAATAAACAGGACTACAAGTTATCTGGTTTGTAGAAAATATTGGCATTCTAGAGACGTTGGGAATAGATATTATAACTAGTATACACTGTTATAATACTTCTGGTTGACATCTTCATTAGATCCTGTAGTATGTGGATATACATGTGCAAAAGAGAGGAACAGGAAAAATGATTGATGTGATAAGGAGTGAAAAGAAAACTAGGGCTATGCAGTAGCAAACTGAAATTGCTTCTAAGCCACCTATGGTCAAAATTCAGAAAGCAGATCATGGGCTGCCCATCCCCAGTGGATACTCCACAGTACAAGTCCCACATCTAAGGCTCAGATAATATCTGAGAAGAGGGTGGGATGATTGTAAGGGCCAATGGACCAGGAAGTCTGCTGTGAGACTGTGTCTCCTAGAAATTGGAAGCTACATCCATAATACATCAACAACATGGCTTCCTAAATAGGACAGGAAGAATGGCAACACCAGTAGAGAGGTGGGAATTGAAAGGTCCCCGAATAGAGACAAATAATACAAGTAACTAATGACTGCTGAGAAGGGAGAAATTATCTTCCCCAGGAAGACCCTCCTAATCAGTTTTCTCATAGCAGTTGTTCAATCCTGAAACCATATCCATACAATACTAAACATTCTTTCATCTTTGTTACTTACAAGAATTACATTGACTCCTTATATTCATGTATTAGCTGATAAATAAAATTCCCATTCCAATTCTGATGTTCATTATTAATCAGTGGGAATCTCATTTTAACTATTTCTTGAAGAAAAAAATGAATTTAAAAAAGATTCTAAGTTCACACAACTTAAGCTAATCCTTGGCAAACAGGATGAGTTTAGTAACTTTGAAAACAAAACCATGGTGTTCTCAGACTCATTAACAAACTTCTTGGGCAAAACATATCCATTTGTCTTAGCAACAAGGAATCTTCGGTGCTTTTGTCAAAGGAAGTTTCCATGTAGTCTTCTGAGGGCTGGGAAGCATGGAAGAGCTGATGTTAAAGGTAAGGAAAGAAATAAAAAAAAAAAAGTCTCTAAATCAAAACAGTTCTCCCTGCTCTTAGTAAATAAACTTTAACCAAAGAAGAATGTATTTAAATATTGAGGGAAAGTGATTAATGAGGAAAACATGGATATATGCTGGAAGAATAGATGCCATTTTACTATGGCGGAAGTGAGTGTCACTACCTGGGTAGAGGATTTGTCCGATATCCGATACAAATCAGATGGGGAATTAATTCTGAAACAAACGCAAGGCTTCATAAGGAAAAGAAGTACAGCAGTTGATTTCAAAGACTAGGAATTGGTGAACAAAAATGGCATTTCACTTATGGAGAAGGGTTTGTTTTTTTTGGGAAAGGGGGACTTTGAATGCACCCAAGCCACTTAACACAAGCTTTGAAGTATGCTTGTGTCACAATTCCCCCATTGCTGCAGAATGTTAACCTGTTATAGTGAAGTGATAGCAAGAACTGTAGTCTGGGCCAGTATGTCACCACTGTGGTTGCTGGTGTTTGCTGGTTGTTAACTCCCGGCTTGGCTTGCTTATTGCTCAAGAGGCTACCTCCTGCCCCTCACGTGGAGTTGGGAGCATTTCTTCTGGTTTCCCTCATTAGAATCCAAAAGCCATATAGTGAGCTAAACTTAGAGGACAAATGAGGATAAATAGTATTTTGCAAGTGGGTAAGGAGAATGACAGTATGGACCTGTGCCTTATTTATTATGTTCCTCTAATGGATAGTCCTTGAACTTGAGTTGTTGTTTTTAGTTCATCTATGTTTTATGAACAAGGAGGTGGGAAGGCAAAAGGTAGCTTTATAAAATAATGTCGAGGTTCCTCAATTTACTTGAAAAAATATGTCCCCAATCTGCTGTAAAACAAATAACATTGTTATTCTCGTGTACTTCCATCCTTATAAAAGCTGCATTTGAATGCTTAACATAGAAGGATGAATAAATACATCCTTCCAAGAGTTGCATTTGAACGCTAAACATAGAAGGATGAATAACATAGAAGCCTGAAGGGCTTCTAGTGAACAGAATGGAATCTGGAACCAATGCCTGGTTTGGAATAGGGTTCCCATTGGCTACAGGATTTAGGAATTTTATTTAGGCTTGTGAGCCTAGCCTTTAACAGCTGAGCCATCTCTGCAGTCCCGGATTTAGGAATCTTAAAAGCAGGTCCCGCTCCCCGTGAGAGCTGCAGTTTGCACCTTAGAGTGCTCCGGAAATCCGCGAGAGGCGTGGAAAGGGGAGCGGCGAGAAGCCTGGGTGGTTGCGACGGACGGGGCGCGGCCACCGCGCTCCGCCTTCTCGCCGTGTTTACCCGGGGAGACCGCGCTAAGCAGCAGGGCCGTCCTAGTGGAGTACGCATGCGTGGACCCAGCTGCGGGCGCGGGCATGACGTCACGTGCGCGGCGGTCCTGAGACCTTGCAGTTTCCCGCGCGCCTTGCTGGTGAGTGAGCTTGGGAAGCTTTAGAGTTGGTGGTGGGTGCGAGGCGGGTCCAGCCCTGGATGACTGTAACGAGGACTGTGTAGTGCAACATTTGGTGCAGTTTTGCAGAAACTCCATTCCGTATCGCTAGTGTGCACCGAACACGACCGGGAGGAGACGTGGATAGATCTGAGAAGCAGCCCTCATGCATCTCAGTGGTTAGGGGACGGTGAGTCCATCCATACACATCCAAGTTAACTAGTGATGCAAGTGAGTGGCCCAGCCAAGGAGTCTGAGGAGAAAGAGTCAAGCCAGACTGCACAGATTAACATCAGTTCTTTCTCATTAGGATATTTATGAGTTCGAGGGAGGAGGCAACCAGTACCTCTTGAAATTAAGCTTTCCGTGCAGTGTGCATACACAATATTTTAATTGCCAAAGGAATTAAAAAACAAAACCCATACTTAATTCCCCCCCCCCCCCCCCCCCCGTGTCTGGAAATTTTAAAGTATGGTGATGAAGTAGTGCAACTAAAATCTTAAAACTGGGTCTTAGAAATACTTTAAATACAAAAGCTAAGTGGAAAATAATTACAGTTCAGCTCCTTAGAAGCATGCTCTGTGTTGGTAATTGCAATAATGTTATAAAGTATGTTCTCTTAATGCCTGCATCCCAACACTGAAAACTAGCTTATTAAAAAAAATAAAGAGAAACTCAAAGCACATTATCAGCTATACTTTTGATAAAACCGTGTTTTGCATCCTCAGCAAGTTGTCAGCTTCCCTAGTTGAATTTTCATTGGACGTCATTGTGAAACACAACTGTGAATGTCACTTGAATTAAAGTCAAAGGGGTACCAGGAGGAAGTTTAGCCACTGAATAAATTACAAAAAGTAGAGCTCTATAGTCAGATTGTGATCATAGCAATGTGTATATCCAACTAAGAAGGTTGTTAACTCAGACCATATTTCCCTCCTAAAAGGAATGCTCATATTTTATATTCAGCATCTTTGTGAGAGATTGGCTTTTATTTTTACAATTATATTTGAGATGAGATATTTCACTGTTATTCATAATTTTCCAGCATTCACTTAACAAACATTTATTGTTTTGTGAGACACTAGATAGGGTTCTGAGGTACAAAGATAAATATATCTAGTCACCATACTAAAGGTGATCTCTAATTCTAATTAATAATAAATGTAGCATATGGTATGTAAACATGAGATAACTTTTTGGTTTGCTATATTAGATTGGGAAAGTTGAACTGGAACTTTCAAAGTGACAGTGTATTTTACTTAACCTTCCTTTTGAGTAAGAGTAGTCATGTGTATGCTGAGGAATTTGGATGCTAACAGTAAAAATGTGTTAGTTTCATACTTAGTTGTTAACAGGAGAAAGACATGGCCACTCTGCTTCCTGCACAAAGAATATATTGTATATAGAAAGCTTAGAGGGAGAAAATCCAACTAGGCAATGACAGGAATGTAGTAAGAATTGCTAATGAGGCTGGGCAGTGGTGGCGTACGCCTTTAATCCCAGCACATGGGAGGCAGAGGCAGGTGGATCTCTGTGAGTTCAAGGCCAGCCTGGACCACAGAGGGAGGTCCAGGAAACGTGCAAAGCTACACAGAAACTCTGTCTGAGAAACCAACCAACCAACCAACCAAACAAACAAACAAAAAAGAGTTGCTAATGATTTGAATGGATGGTAGAAAGGATAGGAAAAAAAACAGTAACCTAAAGCTAATAAACCGAAAAACTTAGTATTTTTTTTTCCTGTTGTGTGGCATTTTATGTGTTAATTCATTTAATCATGACGAAGACTTGTGGCACTGACACTTTTATACCTACCTTACCTGTATAGATGAAGACACTGCATTTCAGAAAGGTTAAGTAATTTTCCTGAGATCAGATAGCTAATAAATGGTAGACATGACATTTAAAACTAGATAGTTTGTGTCAGGCTTGGTGAGATAAATTTCAGAGCAATTAGGCTAGAGGGACAATGAGTTCAGGAAGCTTAACTGTCCCATTCATGCTGGACAAGAGGAGAGGAGACACACATTTAAGCCCTGAATTTAAGTTTGGATATTGGAGAAGTGTCTGGTGCTAGGCCATCTTGGCCTTCCTTGAACTGTAGGGTTAGATCTTACTCCTGTGTTCTTTTTCCAAATAGGAGTGGAAGGTGTTTTTGATTTGTTTTTTGTTTTCCAGCCACAGTGGGTTTTCCCCAAATTCAGAGGCTTGTTATTCAAGCCCTTAAATTGCTAGGCCTTTTTTTTTTTTTTTTTTTTTTTTTTTTTTTTTATCTGAATTAAAGGTAAGGGGGAAAGAGTCACAAGGTTTCTGCCTTTCCTCCAGTAACTGCTGCTGCTCTTGGTCTTACCTTTCAAGAATGTGAAGAAAAGCTTGTAAGTGACTAAATCACCTTGGTTAGCAGCTCCTAAGTGCACTGTACATTTGTAAAGCCCATTCCTGACTTTAACCGTCCATTAAAAATGTCTGGTAAATTTTCTCACAGGTGTTAGACAATATCTGACTTTTGCTTTGGATAAGCAAGTGCATGCCTCTCTTCTATCACTGAAGATTCTCTTTCCTTAGCTCTCTGGTGGGTTATTGCCCTATACCTCCTCTTTGGTGGGTCATAGATGGGTTTGAAATTTGCAGGTTGTCCAGTTATTTGTTGTTAATTATTCTTTCTAGCATTTTACCTCTGAGTAAAGCTTTGCATCTTTACTTCTGAATCATTACACATTATCTATACTCTTAGTTTATGCCTGTAGTATTACAATGATATTTATGAGTAAAGTTGGTGTGGTTTCTGTCTCATCAATCAAGTTGGAACTTTGCTAGTTACATGTAAATCTAAAATATTAATTTGAGAGGTAGGTATTATAGGATCTACTTCAGACATTTTTCAACAAATAAAATAGATATTCATGTTGATGTTTAAAAGAGTCCATGGTATATATGTCATTAAAAATAAGAGCCAAGGGGGCTGGAGAGATGGCTCAGAGGTTAAGAGCACCGACTGCTCTTCCAGAGGTCCTGAGTTCAATTCCCAGCACCACATGGTGGCTCACAACCATCTATAAAGAGATCTGGCACCCTCTTCTGTATACATAATAAATAAATTAGTCTTAAAAAAAATGAGAGCCAAAAGAAATTTTGAAAACTCTGGTGAGTAAACACTTGTTTTTATCTGTATTTTTGAGTAAATAACTTTTTCAAAGTTGGCAGAATGGTTAGTTACTGAACTGGAACAAAAACTAAATTACACTTGTGTCTCAGTGTATTGATTTGACCAGACTATCCTAGTTTATGAGTTTATCATTCATATTTGGAATTTTTTCATTAAATTGTTACTGCCTTCTAAAAACAAGCTTTTTTTTTTTTGTTAAGAGATAATATTAGAGGATAAAACAAAGCTTGGAAAAATTGATTTACTTCATCATTCTTTGTATCTAAGCAAAAAGGACTGTTTAACAACTTGATTATGAATGATATTTATTTTAGGTCCTTTGATTTTTCTCAGGTAACTATAATAGTCATGTGACCACAATACATTGACTTCCTGAAAGGATGGTCTAAATGAGCATCAGAGAAAGACTTTCTAAGGAGTAATTAAGCTTATTTAGGAATGGAATCACATTACAACCTGAAAAGCATATCATAGTGAACTGAGTATATAGTGAGGACTGTGCCAGTTCGAAGTTTTCAAGGCAAATGAATGTGTTGCTGAAGATATTTTGGGACATATCCCTGGCGGTAGACATTAGGAGCAAAGGTTATATCAGTCTAGGCTTGCACATTGTGTGTGTGTGTGTGTGTGTGTGTCTGTCTGTCTGTCTAAGTGCGTGTGTGCGTGTGCGTGTGCGTGTGCGTGTGCGTGTGCGTGTGTGTGTGTGTGTGTGTGTGTGTAGATGTTATTCTAAACGGTCTTATTAAATAAGAAACACAGAGCCAAATACAGAGTTAAAAGCCCAAGAGGTCAGAGCACTAGCGAATAGCCTTTAGTTTACCAGTTGCTGCCATGAGAGACCTTCTCCTGTGTGACTGTCTTTTTATTGCCTTTCTGTTCTGCCTTCTCATTGGTTCTAAACCCAACCACATGACTTCCTCATCACTGCCTGTCTATACAGACCTCCAGGTCTCTATGGTTGATACTTGGATTAAAGGTATGTGTCACCATGCTTGCTGGCTGTGTCCTTGAACACACAGACTGTGCCTGCCATGTGATCAGATTAAGGGCCTGTGCTACCACTGCCAGACTTCTGCTAAATGGCTTGCTATTAGATCTGACCCCTGGCAATTTTATTTATTAACATACAAATAAAATCACATTTCAGCACAAATAAAATATCTCTGTGTGTGTGTGTGTGTGTGTGTATGTGTGTGTGTGTGTGTGTGTTAGCAGAGACCTTTGTGATTAGTAACTCTAAGGTAGTCATAAGAGGGAACCTTCTTCAAAATCTACAAGTGTCTTTGTGTGTTTGCTAATGTTACAACTCCTTAAATTTAAACGGTTTAAATCTATTCTGATTGCTTATATATTGTTAAAAACTGTCTTTTTTGCTAACTGCTTTTCTTTCAGGGAAAGTTCAGTCGTTTTTTCTTAATGTCTTGTGGAAGTAAAGCAGCTGTTTTGAAGATTAGACTTTAAGGTATGTAGTGCTTCGTTTCTCCTTACCATTTGACTTACACTCTAGAAATAGGTAACTTTATATATTTACGGTTCACACGGACACACACACAAACACACACACACACATATACACACACGAGTGATTTTTAGTAGGTAATACACTTACAGTAATGTACACAGACAGTATCTATATAAGGAAATCCTACTTTTCCCTTTGCAAAGGGTTGTTGTAGTATCCTCCTCCTACCTCTTGTTTCTTTACTTTTACATGAGGTCTGTTTTCTCTCACAACCAGACTATCACAATAGCCAACTGTTCTGTCTAGACTTTTTAGGATGACCTAATTTAATAACTTTCTTTAAGTTTGCCTTCAACATACTACTTTACAAAGAATACACACACTTGTAATTAGTGTCTAATCCAGAAAAGATATTTGGGTGACTTCCACACCATTATCTGTTTATTATATTTTTCATATTTTAAATATGTCGTTTAAAGGTATATAGTTTCACAGCTTATGACAGACAACTAGGATTATGAGGAACCTCTTGATGGGATCATGACTGCCTTCAAAAGGCCCAGCAAATGTCATAATTAATGATGTGATACTTTAACCTTCCCCTGAGATCAGGAATATAATCTGGGTACTCATCCTACTCCTTGTCCAGGTAGCCTGTGTTGTCTGCTAAAGACAGAAAGAAAAAGTGTGTAGACCAGAAAAAGAAGCACTCTAACTGCTATTAGGGACAGATAACACTCCGTATGTAAAAGCGGTCTATAGAAAAGTAGAAATTTGAGTAAGATTTTCCCAGAGTGTCAGTAGTAAGTCATCTATCATTTCAAGTGACAGTTTATCAGTAATTATATCTGCTTTTTGTCAGACTGAGCAAATGTCTTCACAACTTGGTTTACTGATAGTTCCTTCTCAATTGGAATTAGAGTTTTTGTTCACCTTGAGTGCCGATCACTAGTTCTCTTATTTTAGTCTGTTAATATGATTTTGGTTTTTTACTGTTAAAACTATCTGCATTTTTAGAAACAACTGTTTGTTTTTGATACTCTGCTGGGTTTGGTTCTCTAACGGTTGCTACAGGTTTTTGCTTCTATGTTACCAAGGCTATCAGTGTGAAGCTTTGTTATGACAACACATAACAAAGGCTTATTCTTAATTATGAGTGCCCAGCCTTAGCTTGGCTTGTTTCTTTCCAGCTTTTCTTAACCTAAATTATCCCATCTACCTTTTGCCTCTGGGCTTTTACCTTTCTCTATTTTTTATGCCTTATTTCTTACTCTGTTGCTGGTTGTGTAGCTGAGTGGCTGGCCCCTGATGTCCTCCTTTTCCTCTTGCTCTTATATCTCTCCTCGCCCAGATTTCTCCTATTTATTCTCTCTGGCTGCCAGCTCTGCCTATCCTTTCTCCTGCCTCGCTATTGGCCTCCTGCCTCAGCTCTTTATTAGACCATCAGGTATTTTAGACAAGCACAGTATCACAGTTTCACAAAGTTAAACAAATGCAACATAAACAAAAGTAACACACCTTAAAATAATATTTCCCAACATTGTAATATACTACCTCAATTGAATGAAGAGAAAACATATTAAATGATTATGTCAGTTGATGCAAAAAATGTATTTGACAAATCCCATGATAGTAGAATCCAGAAAGTTAGAAGAGTACTTTCTTGTTATGATGAAGAACATATATATATATATATATATATATATATATATATATATATATATATATATATATATGTACATATATATATATATATGGCCAACTACATGTTCAGGAATATAGAGGTCAAAGGACCACATGTCGAGTTGGTCCTCTCCTTCCTCCATGTGAGTTTTGCAATCAAACTTAGCTTGTAGGCTTGTCATCAGCTTCTTTAACTGATTGAGCCACTTCGCCAGCCTTTATTATGATAAATTTTAGACATAGACCCAGTGAGTTATTTAACAAATATTCATACATTGGTCACCTAACTTGAGCAGTATAGAGTTTCTAGAGGAAGAGAAGTGATAGAAAGACTGTATATTATTTGTGTAGACTTTAGAGGCTGGATAGCCTTAAAAATGGCCATCTGAATTCTGGAAAGGCTGAGAACCCAGTTCAGCCAATCAGTCTGTTGCCTCATCAGTCTCAGTCTGGTGCTGAAAAGCTGCAGTATTTCTGGAAAGCCTTTGGAACATTCAAGAATCTGGGGTCTGATGTCAGTAAAGGACAGCAGCAGCAGTGGGATTGTTACACTCACCAACAGGAAGGAAAGGAGGCAGAAAAGCTGCTTGCTTTTCCCTTAGACCTCTGGGGATTCATTATATGACTCTTAGCTGGAATGTACCACCCATCTGATGGAAGGACTTCTCCCTACTTCTTCCTGGAAATGCCCTCAAAGACTTCCCCAGGGGCATGTTACTTAGCAGATTCCAGATCTATCAAGGTCAACAATCACATTTATTGGCTACTTTATTTTGTCTTTTGAGTATTCAACTCATTTGACTGTTGTATATTTATTTTGAGACACAATTATGAACTATGTAACTTAAGCCATATTTCAGGATGTAGAACAGTCTCCAAAAATTATACATGTATGTGTACATGTTTATGCCAAAAGATAATTAGGCTATCGAAATATTCACTCAATTTTTAAAAGATATACTTATTTTTATCTGTGACTGCATTAGCATCACATGCCTGATGATACCAAGTGAAGAGGCCAGTAGAGGACATTGGGTTCCATGAGAATTGGAGTTTTAGGTGGTTGTGATGTCTGATGTGGGTGCTGAGAACTGAACTGAACTGGTGTCCTTATAGGCCAGTAGAGGACATTGAGTCCCATGAGAACTGGAGTTTTAGGTGGTTGTGATGTCTGATGTGGGTGCTGAGAACTGAACTGAACTGGTGTCCTTATAGGCCAGTAGAGGACATTGAGTCCCATGAGAACTGGAGTTTTAGGTGGTTGTGATGTCTGATGTGGGTACTGAGAACTGAACTGAATTGGTGTCCTTATAAGAGCAGCAAGCTGCACTCTCTGTCTTGCTCTTTCTCATCTATATTTTAACAGTAATAGCAAAACTAATGTCCGCATTGGTATATGGCTCTTCCTAATTTTTGGGGTATATACACAGACACAATTCCATTATTACAATATAAATAATTTAACAGTAGCTTTTGTGTATGATCACATTTCAAGTGAGACCTTCCCTGTGGTTATTTAGTGAATTCTTTTTCAATTTGTTTTCTTCTACCAGAGTGGCATCTCAAATAGGAAACTCACTGTGAAGGTTTGTAGTAATTGAAGGACTATCTATCCTGCATGATAGAAACTAAAGCTAGCGTTAGTGGCACTGGCAGAGGATGGATGGTTAACCTACCGTTTGTGTGTCTCCTAGGTTCTGAACTTTCTAAAATGCTGAATATCTTCTTTCCCTGCCTTTTTCTAGGTTAAGAAAATATGTGAGTCAAAATCAGCTGTACTTTGGTATTATGTATTCCCTATAAATTTTGTTATTTTTGTTTCTTTGTGTATAATATTTATATTTGAAAATGTTTTTAGTGAAATAGTAAATGTGAATTACTGGGGATTTGTATGTATATGTGTGAGAAAGGGTGCTGTGTGTGTGTGTGTACATTAGAATTTAGAACTGACATTTGTTAGATTAGACAATAATCTAGTTAATCTTTGACTAAAATCTTACTTCCATTTACTTTAGACTAAAATCCTATTTTCATTTAAATTATCATGTATTGCTCCAAGGTCAGTTGAAAACAAAGTATTTTTCACTTTTTGTGAAAATTGCTTATTTGAGATTGTTTATTTTGTTCCTTAAGTGCCCAGCATGTGCTAGAAAGGTAATAGCTTTGGTGAGAAGGAAACTTTTTTATGGATTTAACTGTAAAGAACTGTGGCTCCTTGGCCTTGTCTAGTCATGCTGTGGTTTTTTTAATGGAACAAAGTCAGCGAATAAAATAATGTTTCTGTAAGTCTGGGGGTGAAATGCTTAGTCTGAACTGCTTTAGTTGTTTGCTGTGGAGGCTGAAACATTCTCATTGAATTGAATTTGCCAAAACAAAATGACAATGGATGGATTAAGGGAAATAAAAGTGATAATAGTGCTCATGAGCCATAAAAATGCCACACGTAAAAACCTGAGTTTGAGGCTTGGATTCCCTCTTCACACTTTTCCCCCTCTTCACAATCACTAAGTTACTGATCCTACCCCACTAAAACTGTCCATAGTACAGTGGTGTCTGTTCTGAGATAGAGAACATGAAGTTGCCCTTGAGTGCTGTGTTGGATTGTCAGTCTCTACCTTTGTGGTGAGTTAATATTGGCTGATGAAGTTGCTTTTGGGCGATTGTAGAGGGTTGATTCCCTCTTTTAGTACATTTTCATTTGATCTTGCATCTTTAACATTTTTTAAAGATTTTTAATTATGGGAATTTATGTGTGAGTAGGGTTGTGTACACTTGAGTACAGGTGCCTGTGGAGGCCAGAGCAGTGTGCTGGGTCCCCTGGAACTGGAGGTATAGGTGGTTGTGAGTGCTTGACATGGGTCATGGGAACCAAATAGAGAGAATTGGAGTATTGTTAAGTGCATAGTTAACTGTATTTAAAAACCTGTGGTCACATTGGAAGTCACATACGTACAAATAAGTCTCTGTTTTGTTTTCAGGTTTTTGGTAAATCTCTAAGATTTTCCACAGAAGCAATGTCTTTGGTAAGCTGATGTTTAATATACAGTGATACATACACATTTACACAGCTGCTTCATATTTTGAACTACTTTATAATTTGATTTTAAATTAGCCTATTTTGTAGTCAGATTTTACATTAGTGCCAATACAATGGAAAACCAGTATCTTCACTTTTTTTATATGATGATGTTATATTATAGTTTTGTATTTATCTAACAATATTTGATTGTTTTTGCCTATATTATCTACTAATATCTCTGCATAAGCTGTGCACATGTAAGAAAACTGGAAGGAAATCAGCTCTTACTTAATGAACACATGCAATTTTTATTAGTTTAAACCACATGCAAATTAATTTCTTTTGTCAGCTTGTATTAAAACAGTTTCTTGTGTGCTGAATTGTGATTTAACAAATTGTATAAATAAAAATTTTTTATATTTACATTTTTTAACCATTTTTTATTTTATAAAATTTTGGTGTCTAAAGGAAGGTTCCATTTTTATAGATTGGATACTTAAAGCTGAATGAAACTGGAAGGAAGGCGATACATTGATAAAGTTTAATATAATATGTATATTCTACCTATATTTATTTATTATTTATTTCTGTTTCTGTGTATGGAGTTTATGTACACCACTTGTAAGCAGGTACCCACAGATGCCAGAAGGCATTTGGTCTCCTGGAACTGGAGTTACAGATGTTTGAGAGCCACTCATTGTGGGTGCTAGAAACCAAACCTCAGTCCTCTGCAAGAGCAGTAAGCAGTCTTTAACTACTGTGTGTGCACCCAGAAAGTACTTGTATATGCCAGCAGGTGATGGTCAGATGTCTTCTATCATTATTTACCATATATTCTGAAGCAGAATATCTCACTGAAACGCAGGTTTGCTAACTCTAGTCTAGCTAGCCAGCTTGTTCCTGGGTCCTCTGTCTCTGCCTTCAGAGTGTTGTGATTACAGGTGGACTGCCAAACCCACCCAGTGTTTACCTGCGTGTTCCAGTCTTCACATACGTATGGCCAGTGTAGTATCATCTACTGAACCATCTCCCCAGCCCTACTAGATACATTTTCATCTTTCTGGCATAATTGTCTTGATTTTTATCCACAGCTGTAAATTATATTTCATTTAACCCATTTTTAGGGATGGGTTTCTTTTGTTTGAGGAGAGGTTGTTGTGTTGCTGTTTGTTGCTTTGGAGTTTTTGATTGGTTCTAGGGATTAAAACCAAACAGTTGTCAATGACAGTCAACACTGTCTCTGAGGTACATCCTCAGTCCCTAGTACTCACATTCTCTTGCCAAACTGTGTGATAAGCTTTGTCTTAAACTATCAAGACATAATAGAGGCCTTTTATGTCTTTATGAAACCTAGAGAGGTGACCTGTGTGCTGAAGGGTTTTTGTAGATGTCATCAAATTATCTTTAGTGTATTGTATTCAGTAGCTTTTTAGTGAATATGTTTTAGTATCTTAGGGTAAGTGACTTTCTAGATCTATGTTTAATGTCGCAGCAGCTGGACATGAGAGGCTATCAAATGGAAAATAAAAAATGTGTGGCTAGGTGTTGGCACATGCTGTAGTCCCAGCATGACAGAACTCCATGAAGCAGGATCTCACAAGGATACTGTCTCAGGTCAAAAAAGGAAAACTCAGTTCATAGCCACAGTGGTTACATTTCAGTCTTCTATTTGCCATTGTGTTGACTACAGCAGTCCCCTTATCACACAAGGTCCTATTGCACAGAAATATTCTAGTCCTTTTAGGAATATTCATGGAACAATAAAGTGCCCCAGTAGCCACTATCATAAAAAGAAATACCAGATTGTGTTACTAGCTTAGGGCATGGTGGGATGCTTTAAGTACTATATTCTTATTGGTGTAGATATTAGACACTTTTGCACCACCTTTCAGACTATTTTTGGATCCCTGAGATAATGTTATATCCAAGTGCTTGTAATGCTGTTAACTTTGTAGATTTAGTGTTTCCATGTTACCACTTATCAGTGATACACATTTATTTATCACTCCTCTTATCTAGCCCTATTAGCGTCCCCTAACAACATTTGTCTCAAGTTAAAAATGATTGTATGCCCACTGTCCCTGTAGTCTTGATTTAGGGCATTATCCTTTACTGTCAGCAAGGGAAACAAATTGCTACTCAGGTTAGGTTTATTTGTAGTATTACATAAATTTATTTATGATGTTCACAGATAATTCTCGCTCAATAGTACATTAATCTGACTTATAAGAGAATGGGTATAGAGAAAAATCAGTTAACTTATTTATATTGAAAAGAATAGCTATATTAATTTATAGTAACTACTTTTCATGGGAAGGCAAATTAATAATTAAAAGGTTTTTTTGTTTTGTTTTTTTTCTCATTTTCTGTTTTGAATCAGTAGGCAGTTACTGTTTAGTCTTCCCAAGCTGTGCTGGTTTTCCCATTCTTCTCAGTATGGAGCATACTTGTTAAGATAGGATGCTGAGCCCAGTTATATTGATGGCTTGATTTGACAGCCCAAATCTCCCTTTTATTCCTTTTGCTGAGCATTATTCTATCATAATTAATGAGCTACACTCTTCTTGTATTTTAAAGACTGATTAAATTGCAAAGCCCCTTCTCTGTCTGTGCCGAAGAATCAGCCTTCTTAAAAAGAAAAAGGAATTTATTTCTGTTTGACATTTTAAATAGTTATTTTCAGAGTGGCATGTTAATTTTATTTTTCAATGGGGCAGGAGTAAATGGGCTACTGAAATTTTACATGTTAATTTAGTGATGCTGTTAGCATGAGATACAGCTTTACACAAGATTTTCTCTTTTCCCTTATTATTGTTCTGAATTGCATTATTCAATTGATTTCTGAATCAAAGCCCATTTTTTTAGCTTAAGTAATAAAGTCTTTAAATTCTATAGATGTGTGTGGAGGGGAGGTGATTTTGATTGTCTGAGGAATTTTGAAGTGATAATTTTAAAACGAGTTCTAAAATTTCGGTTTTTGGAATTTCCTCTGCCAAGCTGTAGTATAAATTTCATTTTCCAGTTTTATTTCTTTGTCATATAGGGAAGAAGTAACTGGATGGTTTAATGCTAAAGAACCCTTAGAGCTAGATGCACTTGGGAATATTCGAGACAGAATTATTGTCCCCACCTCCCAAGGTCAGAGTCCTTTATTGACAGCACAGCACTCTAGTGGCTGGATGCCTCAGTGCACTTATTCATCTCCCTCAGTAAGAGTGTCTTAGAGCTCTGACACTGGTGGTGCACACACCTCACATTTTCTCTATTACTTCAGTTGTACAGCAGCTTTTGATATTCTAATGGAGTTTTGCACTTTTCTTGTTGAAGTAGTATAATTAAAATTTAAGCTGGTTATACTTTCATAGGTTTATGCATTAATTTATCTACTTATGAATAAAATTATTTCAAGAACACTAGTTGGTTTCTATAGTAACATTTGGAAGTAGTGCTTTTCTTTCTTTCTTTTTTTTTTTAACTTTCCCCTTTGCATTTTGAAGTCCTTCTCTTTAGGATAAATCTTTTAAAATGAAATAATATATACTTGGCAGTTTACAGATATCACCATAATAGTCTAAAATGTAGATAGTGATATAATTGCTGTCTTTTCTTTCTTTAGGTTCCGGTAGCTCCCTATATATATACACCCTTGAATCTACTTAAAGAAGGTACAATTGTCCATGTCTATGGTGTTGTGAAATTCTTTAAGCCTCCATATCTCAGCAAAGGAACAGGTAGGTATCAATGTATATGGTGTTTTATGGACAAGAACTGCATTATTGCTCTCAGGGACACAACTCAGAACATGCACAATCCTGATTTTTAATTGTCAAACAATAATGAATAATATTCTTTGACTATTTAATTTTTGAAGTGAATTAATTCAGTGTGGTCTTTAGATTCCAGGGTTTTATTTACTACAACATAAATACAGTTTTAAAGGATGCTAAATGATATGAAAATATGAATTTGTTTGTAGCTGGAGTTTTCTCTGGTCCTGCCCCAGCCTGCAGCCACTTAGACACAAAGAGGCTTATGTGATTTTCAAACTATATGGGCTAATGGCTCAGACTTCTTGCTAACTAGTTCTTACATCTTAAATTAACCCATTTCTATAAATCTATACTTTGCCGTGTGTCTTGTGGCAAGTACTTTACATCTTGCTTCTCCTAGTGGGGGCTAGCAGCATCTCCTCTGCTCTGTCTTTCTCCTTCCTCTCTCTAGTTAGAATGTTCCACCAAACCTTTTTCTGCCTTACCATTGGCCAAACAGCTTTATTTATCAACGAATCAGAGCAACACATATTCATAGGGTACAGAACGACATCCCTATCATTTGTTGATGAAGGTGAACATGTTAGCAGATACTGAACATCACAGTCCTGTAACAGCAGATCAGTTACCCTCAAGTCTGGCATGGAAATGAAAGACAAACAGAAGAGAAAAACTAGCCATAGTTATGTTAATGGATACACACTATAGATTATGCCAAGTGTGATCTGGTAAAAGTATGCTGGGAGAATTAAAAGAATTTTTAAATAATTGAAGTTAAATACTTGTAAGCATAGAGTGTATTGCTGTATTTTAAAGTATATTACATGAGCCCCATCTTAACCACAAAGAAAATACCTGTGAGAAAGATACTAACAATGTAGTAGTAGTAGTAGTAGTAGTAATAATAATAATAACTTATCATTATAAAAGCTCAGTGTAGAATGTATAGAAGAAATTATCACAACTTTAAAAAGAACATATTCGTGACTCTCACTGATAACTTTATACTAGTCAGTGAAAAGGATAAAAATTTGCCCTCAGAAATTAGAAAATTGCAGTGTGGCCCGTTAACACACTGCTGTGTTGGAGGTCGTAGCCAAAACAGTTGCAGGAAGGAAGTAAAAGAAATGGCCAATTGGGAAAGATGAAATAAAGCTATGTTTGTAGAGAACATCCTGTAAGTAATAAATACTACACAAAATTTTCCTTTGAGAAATAATAAATGAGTTTAGTAAAATTACAAGATCAAACTTAACATTATATAAGCATATCAGTGATGAGCAATTCCAAAGGTTAACAAAAAGAGAACTTGATTTAGAATAGCATTAATTGTGTAAAGTACTTAGGAATAAGCTTAAGCAGGGAAGGTACTTCTTGTATACTAAGCAGTACAGAATATTGCTGGAATCAAAGATGACACAGAGAGATATGATGATATTCTATGTCCATGGATAGCAAGGCATAATGGTCTCCAAAAGTTTACAATCTTCAAAGCAATGAAAAATTATTGCAATAATAAAAAATTTGTTTTGTTTTGTTTTTTTAAATAGGAAAAGAAAAATCAATGTTAAAAAAAAAATATGTAGAGGGCCCTGAATGGTGAGAAACAGTCCTCAGGAAGGAAAATCTGAAAGTTTATGATGCTCTCATTTCCTAAGCATATTACAAATCTACAGTCATTAAAACAGTATAGTCCTAGCAGGAATACATCTATATTTCAGTGGGATTAAATTGAAATATTAGAAGTAAAAATTCATATGTATGTTCACCTAGCCATTGGCAGACATGCCAAGAATTCACAGTGCAAAAAGGTTGGTCTCTTCCAGTAATGCTGGGAAAACTGGATGTCCATGTTCAAGGAAAATAAAAAGCAAAGTATTTAAATACATGACATGATGACATGAAATTGAAACTGTCAGAGTAAATTCATTAAAAGCTTCTTTACCTGTTTTTAGACAGGATATCTTTTATGTGACATCAAAGAAATCCACCACCAAAAAAAAAAAAAAGAAGTCACATGGCAAAGGACCAAGTTGTAGACTTCTCAGCCAACGAACTGGCCAGTACAGCGAAAGACAGCCTATAGAATGGGAGAGACTACTTGTCTAAAGACAACCTATAGAATTGGAAAGACTACTTATCTGTCTCTTAAGGTACTTATCTCAGATATTTAGGGAACTCTTACATCTCAACAGGAAGAAATAAAATAAAAATAAGCTTACTTAGAAATTAGATCAATGAGTTGGATAGACAGTTCTTCAAAGAAGAGAGAGAGAGCAATTAGAACATGAAAAAACATGGTGATAGGCATGAGGCAAAGAAGTCTACCATCCATAGCCACCACTCTATACCTGTTAAGGAGACCATTATTACCAAAAAGCCAAAACAAATGTTGATGTGGCTATGAAGAAAGTGGACTGTTATACCCTGTTGTACTATTGTGCTGCACTCAAGGAATAAATTTTCTCAAAAGTGGAAATTACTTTTTGTAGCTGGAGGGCTTCTCTCCAGGTCCCGAAAGCCCCGCAGTCCCACAATCCACGTATAAAATAATCACTCAGATGCTTATATCACTTATAAACTGTATGGCCGTGGCAGGCTTCTTGCTAACTGTTCTTTTATCTTAAATTAACCCATTTTTATAAATCTATACCTTGCCACGTGGCT